GACCAGCTATAAGTGGTATTTTGGGATTTTCTGTGTGTAAGAACTTAAATATGTAATTGTTTCCATCTTTCCTGCACAAATGCTTTTTACAAATTGCTTCACAAATTGATAAAACTTTGAATAATTTTCCCTGAAGAAATGTTGAACCCCTGCAAGCTGTTAGAATTAGAGTGTATGTTGAAAGGTTTATTGGGACTACTTACTCTTCCACAACTGTACAGCTTATGTTTTTAACAAAGAAAAAAATCATGATTCCTTTTCTTATTTGTTTGTCTACAGATTAGTCAGGCAAGAAAAGGTCCTAATATTTCAAAAGGCAGCAACCTACAAACAAAATACTTATTTATCTACCATTTTACTAAAAGACACCTTTTTCTATTATTTGTGTAGAATATTAAGTGCAGTTCTTGTCTCCCAGTATTGTATAAAAGGGAGAGGAAGGGAATGAACTATTGTAATCCTTGAATTCTGCATTTAAAATCTTTTTGTGAGTCAGCACAGAATCATGTGTTTTCAGAATAAAACAGGGCCCTCGTCCTGTGTTACCATGTGGCTGTCAGTGCCCATGGGCAGCATTACAGCGACCATCCCTAACTTCATGAAGGTGAAACTCAGCCCCCAGAGCCCCCCGTGTTCTGTTAGCTCTAATACTAGTGCTAATGTGTGCAACAAAGTAACTATGGGGAAGTCCGTGTCCACTAGGACAGCTTGAGTGTGGCTCTGTGCTGATTGCTATGCTGCTTATTACATTTTCTCATGGAATCTGCTCAGTTGCCCTGGAGGCAGGTAGTGTCGCCACTTTATAGCTGGGTAAACCAAAATGTAGAGAATGGTCATTTGCACACTGTCACATGTAGTTCATTGTTGATGAAAATGGAGTTTGGACCCGTGTGTTCATCCTCTTGTGTCCTGTGCTCCTAATGGGTCAGAGACCTAAACCTTTGACCTCTAGCTCGCTTTTTCTTTCTTTCTTTCTTTCTTTCTTTCTTTCTTTCTTTCTTTCTTTCTTTCTTTCTTTCTTTCTTTCTTTCTCTCTCTCTCCTCTCTCTCTCTCTCTCTCTCTCTCTCTCTCTCTTTCTCTCTCTCTCTTTCTTTTTTAACTATATAGAAAGTTTCTATTTGGTATTGGTGTAGATGGGAATTTGCATTGCCTTTAGAACAGTCTCAGGTTGGAGTGAGGGACGGGGCAGGAGCGATTAATGTTACCAGAATCACATACTGTAGACAAGTAGACATGTGGAATGCTCTGAGCCAGCGGTCACCAACCGGTGGTCCGTGAGGTCCGAAAGGTTGGCAGCCACTGCTCTGAGCTGTCCCTGGGAAGACAGTTTTATTTCTGAGAATGTCTTTCCCATAGAGTAGCGATGGTAAGTCAGCATTGTAGGGGTTCCCGAAGTCTCACTGTGTTATTTTCTGCTTCCCTCTGTATTTTGGGGGCTGTGAAAAACTTGTTCATCGAAACTTCTCTCTTCCTCCTTTCGTAATCTCATCTCTTGATCAATCTGCTTCCGTTAAACCAAAGTGTTTTGTGTGGCTTCAAAGTCATAACTTGAAGGAAAATGCAGGTTGGAATAGAACATGCAGCTGTGGGGTGATAGCTAAAAACATTCCTTGGAATTTTCAAAAACTGAATGAAAATTGGTTGTTGAACTCAGCCTTTTATTTGTTAAGAGGTACTGACCGAGTGCACAGTAAGCTGCCTGCCTTCTGTCGTGGGGAAATGGTGGCAGGGGCAGCTTCCTCATTCTCAGAACTCTAACCAGGCTTTTAAAATCACTTGTGAGGGATGTGAGCATTCATCTAAAACCATAGCAAATTAAACAGTCTTTGTAGGTAGGTGCAGACTCGTCCACATACAGTTCTGGCCCTTTCTCTGCTCCACAGTAGACTCACTTATGTTAATTTGTGTCCTTTGCTGTTTTAAACGTGAATAAAACTTACTTTTAAATTATGCCATCCTAACTGCAAGGCTTGCATGTGAAAGCTGATGTACCAGTGGAGCGGGTGGGTGGGCAGACCTGGCCCCTGACTCCCAGGGTGGCCTGCAGTTAGCAGGGACACTCTTTTTTTTCTTTTTCTTTTAATCTTTATTGCTGAAAGTATTACAGATGTCTCCCTTTTTCTCCCATTGACCTCCTGGTTCATAGGTTGATGCTCAACCACTGAGCCACACTGGCTGGGCTTTTTTTTTTTTTTAATAAACACATTAATTCCATATTTTCCTGCATTCTTGGGGGGAGAAAAGCATATTAAACACCAAGTAATAATTTTTTTCTTTATTGATTAAGATATTAGATATGTGTTCTTACCCCCTCCCCCCCAATGTCCCTCCAATAATTTTTTTAAAATATATTTTTTGGGGTGTGAAGAGAGCAGAGTGCCTGAAGAATGGCTCCTCTGTGTAGAACACATCCAACAGCAACTTGGGCTTATTCTTCACAGGTGGCAGGATGCTATGACTTTCCTGTGACATTACGCCCTATACATGAAAAAATATTTTTAATTGATTTCAAAGAGGAAGGAGAGAGAGATAGAAACATCAGTGATGAGAGAGAATCATTGATCTGCTGCCTCCTGCATACCCCACACTGGGGATCAAGCCTGCAACCTGGGCATGTGCCCTGACTGGGAATCGAACTGTGACCTCCTGGTTCGTAGGTCAACACTCAACCACTGAGCCACGCCAGCCAGGCCCAAGTAATAATTTTGTTCTGCAGAAAATCATAGTTCTGAATTCGTACCAAGTCTGGGAATTGCCCTGGAGTGTGTGTGTGTGTGTGTGTGAATTGGGGGTGGGCACTTTTTAGGGGCAGGTTTGCCTCTTGGTAAAGATGATAAGAAGAATGTGTTGCTGTATGATCTTCTGCCATAAAACAGTTGTCCTTAAATTAAAAGTAACCTTTTTCATGTGATTACCTTATTCTGTTTTGATGACCAAATGGGTCTTAATCACCTCCTGACTCTCCTCTGTTCTTTCAAGAAATCTTTAGAGTAAGTATACAACTCACTGTTTCAGGACTTTTAAAGACATTTTGAAAAATTTGTTCATAAGCCTGAAGTTTATCTTTATTATAATTATTAAATAATGCTTTATAATATAATTGCTAGGCCACATTTTTTCTCAACCCCTTCTTTTTGGTAGATAAAATCTTGGTTTTAAGCAGCTTTTAAAATAGCGCCTTTGCTCTCAGGCTGTTGAGTCTGCTGTGACGTATGTGGGGTGTCAGCTGCCTCCCGAGGTCACAGCATCTTGTGATGCTGGTGGATCAGCCTTACTGCTCAGACATGCCAGTGTCATCGTAGCAGGGAGCGCCTTAAAGACACTCCCAAACCATCATCTTCCGTGTGCACTTTGTAATTGTCTAGAACAGAACAACTTTGCTGGCTACAGCACAGGTTACTGTTTTTGAAATGCAGACTTTAAAATTAGGAATGTATTTGATATGTATTAGTTTGTATCATCATAGTATTCAATAAAATAAAATAAAAATTTTTTGAGGGAAAAGCAATGTTAAAAAGAAACAAGTTTTCACCACGGAAGCTGATGGGGCTTACCAGTAGCTGATTTTTTTTCTGAGCTCTCAAATTCACACTGGCAGAATTTACCACTTTATCTTGCACACTTAAACTCAGTCGCCTACAGGCAGGGCCAAAGGTTGACCAGCCTCAGTGTTGTAAAACTCCTCAGGGCATAACTTCTGGTTCTGAGAGAATTATCTGTGAGGCTCATTTAATGCTGGGCTATTTGCTGGTTAGCTCTCAGTCTTATCTAAGGTCCTGTCTCACTCTGAAATGCCTATACATACACATCATACACTCTGAAGCAATCTAGGTTCTAATTTGGCAGTGAGTACAGCATTGTTCAGTACCTTGAATAATCCATTTGTAAAGAATTTTACCAACTTCCTTTTAGAACTTTGCTGGATAGTGTACATTGACTACCACTGACTAGTCCATCAGCATTTTTCTGGGTTTGCCGTTTTGGAGTTTGGCTCACATTTCTATCTTCTCCTTTAAGTTACCAACTTTTTAAAAATGCCTCCTGCCGCCCTAACTGGTTTGGCTCAGTGGATAGAGCATCGACCTGTGGACTGAAAGGTCCCAGGTTCGATTCCGGTCAAGGGCATGTACCTTGGTTGCGGGCACCTCCCCAGTGGGAGGTTTGCAGGAGGCAGCTGATCGATGTTTCTCTCTCATCAATGTTTCTAACTCTCTATCCCTCTCCCTTTCTCTCTGTAAAAAAAATCAATAAAACATATTTTTAAAAAATGCCTCCTGCCCTTTGCTGTTTGTTAGAAATCTAGAATTCAAAGGACGGCCTTTGTTCTATACCTAGATCTGTCCTGCAACATACAATACTCTACAGATTACAGAGTCATGGTCTAGACCAGTGGTCGACAAACTGCAGCTCGCGAGCCACATGCGGCTCTTTGGCCCCTTGAGTGTGGCCACAAAGTTTCAATCGCACTGTACGTGCGCGCCCGCATGTGGTATTTTGTGGAAGAGCCACACTCAAGGGGCCGCAGTTTGCCGACCACTGGTCTAGCCTATCCGTGTAACTCACAGGGAGCAGGATTGGAGAGAACACTCGTTTGGGATCTGAAAACATACCTGAGTCACTAGCTGGAAACCTGGAGTAGTCAGGTCCCATTTCCGAGTCTGTGTTCACTCAGTGTCTGCTGTTTTCTAGAATCTTCACTCCCAAACTAATCTGTTACTTTCCCCATCATCCTCCCTTCTGCTGTTCTGCTGAAGGTTTAATGCTAGATGCTTGGGAGTCTGAACTCTCATTTCCAGGGACAGTTCCTTTTTCTTTTTAACTCTCAGGGTTGACATAATGCTTGAAATTTCAAGAAGATTTTCTTGCATCCATGTACCTGATAATACTTCAAATAGCACCTTTTACAAACAAACCTAACGGCAACATAATTGCCTTAGTGGCTACCCTTTTAAGAGTGAAAAGGACATAATTGTGTGGTTTTTTTCTTATTTCTTTTTAGGTTTTGAATGAAGAATGTGATCAGAACTGGTACAAGGCAGAACTCAATGGGAAAGATGGCTTCATTCCCAAGAATTACATAGAAATGAAACCACATCCGTAAGTTGGCCCCTACTGTCTCCCAAGGGTCAGACCTGCTTGCTTGTTTCCAGTAATGTTTTTAAACTGAAATTCATGTTATACTTTTATTCAGTCTTCCCAGGGAATTAACAAAGCATGTTGATTTTGCATATTCATGTTAATAATAGTATATAATGATAATATAACAGTCAATAATAAATAGTGTATAAAATACACTAGTCAATAAATAGTGTATAAAATACACTAGTCAGATTAATAGTATTTGCTGGTGATCTTTCAATAATGAAACAGTTGTTTCATTTAAAACAATAGTTTATATACTATTACATAATAGTATATATGTTTTTGATTATTAATAACTATCAGTGATCTTCAAGTAATAAAATAGTTATGCAGGTCCATAATTCTTTTTCTAAGAAACCCTTAGGGCCAGATGTTTCATAGTTCTGTATTTTTGTTTTTTAGTTTTAGAAAGGGTACTAATCACAGGGTTTTATACTGATATGTTTGATTTTCCTATGAGACCATATCTTAATAATCTTTGTATCCTCAGAGCACAATGCTTGGCATATAATGGGTTCTCAGTAAATGTTTATTGTACTCACTGCCTTGCTCTCCACTTAATGTTTCCATTTCAGAGAAAGCAAAATGCTCTCTTACTTTAAGCTGCTGAGAGCAGTGAACTTTTTTCTTTTCATTTATTTTTTTCTAGAGCTCCTCCTGTTCATAATGATATGTTACACAGTGGGACCCTGGGAGCCCTAACAATCACTGTCCTCCCACCCTCACTGACCACCTCTCTCACTGGCCCCGCTCCTACCCCTAAAGCAGTCTTTTCATGCTTAGTATGTCAGGGGAACTGAGGCTTTCAGTGCTCAGACTAGACTGCCACTGAGGCATGAAGTTCTTTCTATCTACTTGGTTTAACACAAGTGATAAGACTTTTAGATAACTTGACCCACTTTAAGTATCAGCCCATTTGTCCCTCCTCCCCCATTGTTACGCCCTGTGTACCAGCATTTCTCTTCCTTCAAGTACTAGAGCAAGATATTAACCACACCTTATCTAACATCGTCTACATCATGTTACACAGAGCTTACCTCATCTTGCACAGAGCTTACAGTGTCATAGAATTAGAAGGGACCTTTAAGATTGTCTAGTTTATTCCTCTTTATCCTACAAATCAGGGACACTTCTAGTATTTTTATTTCAATGCTAGTAATTTATGAATATAGTTCTCATTATAAAAGACTCATAATGTAGAAAACTCTAGAGCAATGTATGAGTTTCTGCCCATACATATACCCTTTTCAGAGGCAACCACCACTTAATAATTAAATGTGGGCCAAATGCTACCTTAGGAACTGAATCTGTTCTAAAAGATTATTCACTTCCTATAAAATGAAACAAATGACGCAGGAGCTTCACCATGAAGCTATCTGTTGGTCAGTAACTCTTACAGTTCTTACTATGTGGCAGAGACTGCTAGGTGCTGGGAAGTTAGGTGCAGTAGTTACATTATGGACGAATGCAATTTCCATGTCGTTAATATGAAGCTCTTTGAGAGGTCACACCCAGAAAGCCTGAGCCTGGACAGAAGGCGGGGTACCCTGCAGTTGGGAATGGGAAGACACCTTTATCTACAGACATTTCTGTAATGAAATTGTGAGGCACTCTAATATACCTCTTTTACTTCAGAAGACAGGCACCTTATAATGGCTCAATAGGAGTTTCATTGAATGATTTACAAGGTGAAAACCAGTCTAATTTATAAACTTTTTATTCTAGTTTTTGTTTGGAATTTGTACTGTCTTATATCTTATAACTTATATGAGTTGGGTCTCTCACCACGCCCCCACCACCACTACTACCATTTTTTTGTTTTAGATTCCTTGGAGAATTTGTCTTCATTTATACTCCTGGGAAGTATACTAAGCACTGCTTTGCATTCTTATAGCCACTTAGCATCAGTGTTTGCTTTGGGGGCTGTGTAGGCTTTTCATGGACAGATGATGGAATGCACTGGAGAGAAGGGAGAAGCTGTTGGGTAGTGGTTACCGGGAGTGGGAGGGGCTCCTTGGATCGCAGTGCACCCTCCCTCCCTCCATCCATGGAAGCCAAATAGCATGTGCAACCTGTTCATTCAGTCCTTCCTCAGAATGGAGCAGGGCTGGCTAACCTGTAAAAGGCAGATAATGAATATTGTGGGCTTTGTGGGCCACATGCAATCTCTGTCATGACACACACTCCTCTTCTTTTGAATTTTTTAAAACAGCCTTTAAAAATTTTTTAAAAACAGTCTTAGATTATGGGCCATACAAAAACTGGGCAGATTTAGGCCAAGGGCCATGGTTTGCTGACACCAGCGCCAAATCCAATGATAACAAAATCAACTTAAGTTCCTTTTCATTTTCGTATTTCCAGGCTGAAAGGGAATTCAGCAGAACACCACACTGTAATTTTTGTGTTAAACTATTAAGAAAATATAAGAATCCTGGCCGGTGTGGCTCGGTTGGGTGTTGTCTCCTGCACTGCAAGGTTGCCATTTGGATTCTCAGTTAGGGCACATGCCCGGGTTTCGGGCTCAATTCTGGTAGGGGGCATATGGGAAGCAGCTGAACAGTGTTCCACTGTCATATTGATGTTTCTCTCGCTCCCTCTCCTTTCCTCTCTAAAAATCAGTAAATATATTTTTAAAAAAGAAAAATAATAGGAAAGGCTACCTTTCTTAGAAAGTAATGGTTACTGACCTGATTGGTTGGCTAGCCTTTTAGGGAGAGTCACTCTCACGCCTGGTTTCTCACAATAAAGAACTTTGATTGAATAATTGATCAGGAAGCATCCAGCCCAGTCAGGTATGGTTCAGTGGTTGAGCGTTGACCTATGAACCAGGAAGTCACAGTTCAATTCCCAATCAGGGCACATGCCCAGGTTGTGGGCTTGACCCCCAGTGGGGGGTGTGCAGGAGGCAGCCAATCAATGGTTCTCTCTCATCATTGATGTTTCTCTCTCTCTCTCTCTCTCTCTCTCTCCCTCTCCCTGCTGAATGGAAGCCCTTTTCTGGGGTTTTGTTTAGCTTCTTATTTGCAACATAGTATATAGTTGCTTAGAGTTGCAACTGAGAGGCTGGCAAGTTAGGCGGAGAACGTTGGAATCTGCAGCAAGCAAGCCTCGTGCTCGCTTCAGTGCCTGGCTGCCGGCCGCCATCTTGGCTGACAGTTAATTTGCATATACTCACTGATTAGCCAATGAAAAGGGTAGCGGTCGTACGCCAATTACCATGTTTCTCTTTTATTAGTGTAGATAACTTATATGAGTTGGGTCTCTCACCACGCCCCCACCACCACCACTACTACCAGTTTTTCGTTTTAGATTCCTTGGAGAATTTGTCTTCATTTATACTCCTGGGAAGTATACTAAGCACTGCTTTGCATTCTTATAGCCACTTAACATCAGTGTTTGCTTTGGGGGCTGTGTAGGCTTTTCATGGACAGATGATGGAATGCACTGGAGAGAAGGGAGAAGCTGTTGGGTAGTGGTTACCGGGAGTGGGAGGGGCTCCTTGGATCGCAGTGCACCCTCCCTCCCTCCATCCATGGAAGCCAAATAGCATGTGCAACCTGTTCATTCAGTCCTTCCTCAGAATGGAGCAGGGCTGGCTAACCTGTAAAAGGCAGATAATGAATATTGTGGGCTTTGTGGGCCACATGCAATCTCTGTCATGACACACACTCCTCTTCTTTTGAATTTTTTAAAACAGCCTTTAAAAATTTTTTAAAAACAGTCTTAGATTATGGGCCATACAAAAACTGGGCAGATTTAGGCCAAGGGCCATGGTTTGCTGACACCAGCGCTAAATCCAATGATAACAAAATCAACTTAAGTTCCTTTTCATTTTCGTATTTCCAGGCTGAAAGGGAATTCAGCAGAACACCACACTGTAATTTTTGTGTTAAACTATTAAGAAAATATAAGAATCCTGGCCGGTGTGGCTCGGTTGGGTGTTGTCTCCTGCACTGCAAGGTTGCCATTTGGATTCTCAGTTAGGGCACATGCCCGGGTTTCGGGCTCAATTCTGGTAGGGGGCATATGGGAAGCAGCTGAACAGTGTTCCACTGTCATATTGATGTTTCTCTCGCTCCCTCTCCTTTCCTCTCTAAAAATCAGTAAATATATTTTTAAAAAAGAAAAATAATAGGAAAGGCTACCTTTCTTAGAAAGTAATGGTTACTGACCTGATTGGTTGGCTAGCCTTTTTAGGGAGAGTCACTCTCACGCCTGGTTTCTCACAATAAAGAACTTTGATTGAATAATTGATCAGGAAGCATCCAGCCCAGTCAGGTATGGTTCAGTGGTTGAGCGTTGACCTATGAACCAGGAAGTCACAGTTCAATTCCCAATCAGGGCACATGCCCAGATTGTGGGCTTGACCCCCAGTGGGGGGTGTGCAGGAGGCAGCCAATCAATGGTTCTCTCTCATCATTGATGTTTCTCTCTCTCTCTCTCTCTCTCTCTCTCTCTCTCTCTCTCTCCCCCTCTCCCTCTCCCTCTCCCTCTCCCTTCCTCTCTGAAATTAATTTTTTAAAAAGGAAGCATCCAGTACAGGTGCTCTTCACAGACTCTGGCTGAAAATCTACTCCACGGTCTAAGTGGGTTGCTAAACAAGACCATGGCATTGTACCTATGCTGTGGTTGGTCTTACAGGCATGTTTCATGTTACAGGGCTGCTCTGCGGCTGGATACCAATAAGTACAGTTACCGTCCATTTCATAGCTGTGGGAGAGCACAAAGTACCAGTCTCTTCTCTCCTCTTCCCTCCCTTCCTCTTCTTCACCCCACCCCAAAACCTTCGGTTTTTGTTAGGAAGAGGGAAGTTTAAAATGGAGTATGACCTAATATAGCATTTGAGTTAACAAATTAAACACAGACTATAAAGTGATTGTTGGCATTAGTGTTGCAGGATGAGTTGTAGATACTGGGGGTGGATCCAACTGTGTGCTTTCACATTAAATGCATATGGGTGGGGGAGCCCACGGGGTGCAGTAAAGAATTAAATTGCAAAAGAAGCAGCCTCCTCCCATTAGCTTTCTCCTTTGCTATTTGTATAATAGCAAAGATGGTATAAACCCATCTTTCTAAAAGTTTTTACATTTTTGAACATAGCCATGTAGTTACAAATAAATGTCACCATTAAAAGAGGCTAATCAAATTTATAAACAGCATAAAATGCTATGGAAATGTAGGTTGATAGTATTTAAATGTTGTAACAGAGTAATAACATTCTTCATATAGTCTAATAGTCCTTATATTGTGGGACATCCTTGGCGGGGGTGAGGGGGAATGTGTGTATGTGTGCGCCCAGCACGTGCTTAATAAAAATAGGAGCAGATACAAAATAAATATTTACTTAATAAAGTCTCCAACTAATTTTCTATTTTTCAATCTGTGTGCTTTTAATGGAGGTATGTTTACTTTGTAAAAATTCCAATTAGTAGTGTACTTTACTTCACTAAAGTTTTTGTTCTTTAATTGAAAATAAAATTGAGTTAATTTTAAACGGGGCAAGGAAACCCTGTAGCCATATTTGTCTGTCTATCTGTGCACCGTAAGGGAAGGTCTAAAAACATACACATGTAACTGCCAACAGTTGAGGCCTCTGGGGAGTTTGAGCGAGGAGCCTTGCTTATTATTTTTACTGAATGCACATCTAGGGTATTTTAATTTATATTTATTACTTTTAAAAAGTAGGAAAGGAAAGAAAATGCCTGCTGCTGGGAAGATCTTGGGGGTTTAGGAGGAAAGAATGTGGCTGTTGAGTAACTTCACCCCACCCCAGGCAGATGCCTATGGTGCGAGTACATTATAAACTTGACAGTACCAGAGATTAAAATAGAAAACATTCAGATGGTCTTAATACTGTTAGCTCTCCTTTCATAACTGGAGCTCGTCCTATTTTATTAATACGTGATTTTTCTTGTATAGCCTGACTTCCAGGCACTGGAGGACTTACCCTTGAATTATTCATAGAAGCAAGAAGATAGATTGTACCAGCTCCTAGCAGCTTGGCATTAGAGAAGCAAAATGAGAAAGACACATGTAGGTAGATTTAGGAATGTTTAAAGGTTACTAATGGCAACTTCTGAATGTTAATTACCATGTAAGGAGTTCAATGAAGCAGACAGGTCTTTTTAAAAAATACATGTTTTTATTGATTTTTTTAATTTTTATTTTCTTTTAGAAAGAGAGGAAAAGAGAGGGATAGAGAAACAGAAACATTGATGAGAGAGAAACATCATCAATAGGTTGCCTCCTGCACTCTCCTCACTAGGGATCGAGTCCGAGACCCAGGCATGTGCCCTGACCGGGAATTGAACCGGCAACCTCTTGGTTCCTGGGACAACATTCAACCACTGAGCCACACCGGCAGGGCAGACAGGTCTGCATTGGCTCTGAGAAACATGGCTGCTTTTTAAAAAATAATCATAACAATATATTAAAGACAACTTTGAAAAGAGAGCATTGTTTTCGTAGCTTATCCATCTTAATTAGTTTGGTTTTTATGTGAAATACTTAGGCAGCTGTGACTTTAAGCTTTTAAAGTGTTCTCCTCCTCTTCCTCCTGGTAAATGATAGGCCAGTTGCTCACACAGTTTTCCATGAATTCACCCTCTTTCTTGTCGCCAAGGTGAATTAGCATTGAGAGCAAAAGAATCTAACTTGCTCCAAATGAAAAATCGACTTTTGCAACTAGCTGCCTATGCACATGATAAATAAATTACGATGTTCCTGATGGCTCCTAAAAGGTAAACTTGGAGCAGGGACAGCAGAGACTGGCTTTGAGCGGAAGGCCAACCCTAGTTACTAGTGAAGACTGCCCTCTCACAGCCTGAACCTCTTCCCTTCGGGCTGTTACAAGAAGTAACCCTGTCTCCAGCCTCTGGGCCTTCCCGCTTTCCTGCCCCATTTCCCACCCTAGCAAAGCTGCAGCCTTATCAGATGGCAGCAAGAAGGAGCCTGTCTCCCCTCTGCTTCAGTCGGTACCTGGGACATCCACGGGGCCTTGCAATGAGTCAGTTGGGAGCCCAGGGGGCTTTGGCCCCGGAGGCCCATTTGTAAGTGTCTACCTTTACAGGAAGAGTGCCTTCTGAGTCACTTTCTGGAGAGCGGGGTAGGGGAAGGCGTTTGAAGGGAGATAGTCCATCTCTCAAAGGAGGGCCTGACGAGCAGCGTGATTGGGCATGTTGAGACTGAAGGGTAAAGAGGGAGGCCCTACCCCTGTCAAGGAGTGTTGTTACATTTCGGAGGCTGCATATCCCGTTTCTTTCTGGGGAAGCAGATGTTGACCGGCTTGCCTTCCTTCCTTAGGTGGTTTTTTGGCAAAATCCCCAGAGCCAAGGCAGAAGAAATGCTTAGCAAACAGCGGCATGATGGGGCCTTCCTTATCCGAGAGAGTGAGAGTGCTCCTGGGGATTTCTCCCTCTCTGTCAAGTAAGTATTTCCTGCGTTGGTTGCCGGGATCCTTGTCTCCCGATGACCTGAGTTGTGAAGCCATAGGCCAGATGTCCGATGACACACACCAAAGGTTGCAAACTGGTAGCATCTTACAAATCAGGAGATTTCACATTAAAATACTGCTTTCTGGCCCCTCTTAAGAATGTGTTCTAGCAGCACTGGGTTTCGATTCCCCATGGAAGCAGTCTAGTAGCTGAACAGCAGCAGCACTTTGGACAGCACGTGCTTGCCAGTTTTCCCTAATCCCCACCACTCCCTAGTGTCTCCTTACACACAGCTCTCTTCACTCCTCACCCTTTCCTCTGGGATCCTGCAGCTCTCTCTAACAGCTGCCTTTTTGAGCCCCCCCACCCCCCAGGCATCTAGTTTCAATCTGCCAGCACCAGCCTAGGCCTGTCACATTAATTTAAAAGGTCACCACAGGGCGTTTGGGGGGGTGTTGGTTGTTTTTTTTGTGTGTTTCCCTGTGGTAAATTTAAATGTGGGAAGGAGCTGGTGAACAGCGACTAGAGAAGGCAGGAAGTTGTATCACCCTGGAGTCACAGAGAATATAAATTGGAACTTAGAAGATTCTAAGCAAATCAGCCCCCACTTGTGGCATAAGAATATTTAATCAAATTGTCATTTCCATATGCTTTTGATTCAGTCCTTTTCTAAAAGTTAATCATATAGAATCATAGGAACCCCGCCCCTAAGAATCTTACAAACTAGTTCATTTATATGATAAAGAAGTGATTCGTTTTACTTTTTATTTTTTGTTAATCCTCACCTGAGAATATTTTTTCCATTGATTTTTAGAGAGAGTGGAAGGGAGGGGAAGAGACACAGAGAGAGAAACATCCATGTGAGAGTGCTACATGGATTGGTTGCCTCCCACACTCGTCCCAACCAGGGGCTGGGGATCGAGCCTAAAACCAAGGTACATGCCCTTGATCAGAATCGAACCCGGGACCCTTCAGTCTGCGGGCCGATGCTCTGTTCACTGAGCCAAACTGACTAAGGTGTAAAGATTTTTTTTCTGTTTCAAAAATTAATTGAATGTCTTGTTTCATTTTAAGACCAAATATATGGTTAAAGTATAGATTTTTTAAAATATAAATTTAAATTTAGAATTTTTTTTTTCTCAGTGAAGATATGGGAGGTGATTTCAGGTGGCATTTACAATACCTTACAGATATGTTTCCAGCACAGTTTTTAGTCTCAACATGAAAAAGTCAAACTGGATTTAATAATAAGTTTTTCTCTTCTAACAATGGCTTTTTTTAGTAGACTTTATTTTTTAGAGCTGTTTTAGGCTCACAGCAGGGGTGAGTGGAAGGTACAGAGATTTCCCCTCCACCCCCACACTCCCCCACGCTTTGGTGCTTGGCTAAACACATGCAAATGAGGGTCTGGTGAAGAGCACCTCAGATGCAAGTGTCAGTGTGCTTCTTCTTAATTTGTTTTTCATCATCTGTTTTCCTTACATTTTATCCTGACCCGATTGTAAACGAAACAGTATCAGACAAGGAGTGTAAGCAGCCAGTAAACTCACTGGGCTTCCCCGTGGCAGGTAGTGCTCAGCTGGGCCTTGTCTGGGTGCCACTGGTCACGGCACACGGCAGGAGGCTCCCACACCCCTCCCTTTTCTCAGATAAAAGGTTGAAAGAGTCATGTATTTATTGTTTTAGAAATAAGATTTGAAACCAATGTCGTTAACCATCTTGATCAACACAAACACCTTTCCAAAGGAGGTGCAAGAATCCCGGTCTCCGAGACGTTCTTTAGTTTCAAGATGTTGTGAGTCTGTGGTGGGAAGCACTGCGGTCCTTTCAGAACCGAGCTCGCTGCACGTGGATGGACTCTGTGGGGCCAGAAGTGTCCTTGAATACGTCCTTCCTCATAAAGCTTTCTCCCAGTCCTTCTCTTTTCTCGCTTGAAATAGCAGAACTGCAGGCCTTTCATCATGACATCGATGAGATGTGGTTGAAACTTAACTCGTGCTTAGACAGTCCGCCCATGGTAAAATCGGGGTTGTTTCAAGTCGTCCCCTTAAAGTCACAGAACCTGTGGACGACAGTCAAGTGAGGACTTACTGTTCATAACACTTTGCATCTCCTCAGTGGCTTCCTGGGAGCTCGGTGCTGCCACCTTCTGGGTTGTTTAGTTTCTTTAGCTTTAAGACTGTCGGTCCAGAAGAAAGACTAGTTTCATTCATTTAACAAACCTTCTTAGATGCCTTTTGAGGGCTGGGCAGTGAGTGGGACAGGCAGAGCCTTTGTGGAGCGGCTGTGCTGGCCTCGTAGCGCTGTGATAGTGGGCCATCCCGCTCAGTCAGCTCTGGGTGGGCCCGTGTGGAAGGGAGCACTTACCTTGACCAGGTGATAGAGGAGCCTTTTCGGGGGGCAGGAGGGCTGCCTGGACCTCTTTATTTGTTGTCCCAGTAGATTATTTTGTTCTGAGACCTTTTCCCCATGAGTAGAACTAAAATCCCTGAATAGAACACATGACTTGCCCGGCTGGTGTGGTTCAGTGGTTGAGCATCAACCCAGGAACCAAGAGGTTGCCAGTTCAATTCCCAGTCAGGGCACATGCCCAGAATGAGGGCTCGATCCTCAGTGGGGGCATGCAGGAGCAGCCAGTGGGTGACTTCCTCTCTCATTGATGTTTCTATCTCTCTATCCCTCTCCCTTTCTCTCTCTCTAGAAAAAAAAAAAAATCAATGAAAAAAATATTATTAAAAACAAACAAAAGACATGACTTTACCCAGGTACAGAGAACTATTGAACGTATGTCCAGTTTCTCCTCTGCATACCTCATTTCATTTTCCACCTTTTATAAAAGTCTTTAAAAATCACATAAGATTTTATTTATTTTAATCACCCAAGATTTTGATTTTTCTTAATATTATTATTCTTTTTTGCACTTGAAAATGTAATTAAATCACACTCCTTGCCTTAAATAGGCTATGTTTCTTTCATTTGGTACCATGTGGGGCATGCCATCCCTTAGGACTTCTGTTTATAAACGTCTTCAGAATTAGACCGGTGGACAGGGTTTCCTGCCTGGCAAGGGTGCTTCATGGTGTCACTGGGAGTCATCAGTCCTAATGGAGGGGCCTCGAGAACTCTGTGAGCATCCTAACCCTCCAGCCAGGAGTCGTGCTGTGTGGCAGCCCTGGGCCGTGAGGAGTGTGGCCTCCTTGATGGGCAGGTGGCCTGGGCTTAACCAAGGCTGAGCCCCCTAACCTGGTCTCCTATCTATTCCCTGCCTCCCCCAGGTTTGGAAATGACGTGCAGCACTTTAAGGTGCTCCGCGATGGAGCTGGAAAGTATTTCCTCTGGGTGGTGAAGTTCAATTCTTTGAATGAGCTGGTAGATTATCACAGATCTACATCCGTCTCCAGAAACCAGCAGATATTCCTCCGGGACATAGAACAGGTGCCACAGGTAAGCCCCAGAGAGAGAGGTGGGTCATCCTTAGCAATGAAAACAGCTCCTCAGGCAAGCAGGTGCCTCTTCAAAGGATTGCTTCTGGGGCTTCCACACTCATTGATCAAAGTGTTACCCTTAATTCATGCCAAAGATTTGAATCTGAAGTAAGTAAAATAAAATAGGTTTGCCTTCTCCAGAGGCGGCTCCTCTGGGCACTGCGTTGCCCGTTGCCCACCTGCAGCCCTAGGAAGGAGGGTCTGTAACACACTCTCCAATACCCTTCCCCTGGAAGCAAATTGTGCGGAGAGTCCTACCTGGGAGGGAGGGAGAGAGGGAGGCTCACTCTCCCTTCTCTATTCCAAGTCCTGAAACCCTACCATATGCCTGCTGAGCACACCTCGTTCAGTCAAGCTCTGGACTTTCTGGCCCTATAAAACTGTCAGGATTTTACAAGTGATACAGTGGTAGGAACTGAAGCATTTTCCAATCCTGGGATGTAAACCAAACCTGATGGCCATTTCCAAAGTTCTTTCCCCTTAAAGCAGCACTTGCCACTCTCTGCTTAATAATACGGCACAGCTGGCCACCAAAGTGAGACCTGCCCTAATAATTTCTGAGCATTGGTGAAAAGTCACACTGTCCCATGTAAACTTAGAACATGTACGAATAAAGGGGGGTCGGGGGGTGGAGATTTACTGCGGGAAATGTAGAAAAGTTGGCACTCCTCTGTAGACCCCCCATAACCAGTCCCACTCGGGACTGGCCACGCTCAGGACGCAATGTGTGTGTTTCTCCCTGCCCCTCCTCTGCAGCAGCCGACGTACGTCCAAGCCCTCTTTGACTTTGATCCCCAGGAGGATGGAGAGCTGGGGTTCCGTCGGGGAGACTTTATCCACGTCATGGATAACTCAGACCCCAACTGGTGGAAAGGGGCTTGCCACGGGCAGACCGGCATGTTTCCCCGCAATTACGTCACCCCCGTGAACCGGAACGTCTAAGAATCGAGAAGAGATTATTTAAAGAAAGTGAAAAATTTAAACACATACAAATGAATTAAATCCATGAGCTGCCTCTAACAGCAGCCTGAGCAGGAGCTCCGAACACCTGGCGGGGTCACCTGGTGACCCTCTCACTTTGGTTGGAACTTTGGGGGGTGGGAGGGGGAGTTGGATATAACAATGCCAAAACTTACCTATGAATTAAGAAAAAGAGTTTTTATTACAAGTTTTCACTGCTGCTCCTAGTTCTCCTCCTTTGTCCTTTTTTCATCTTTTTTCTCTTCTGTCCATCAGTGCATGACGTTTAATGACACATATAGTCCTAGCTGATGCCAATAATAAAAGAAAAGAAACCAAGTGGGCTGGTATTTTCTCTATGCAAAATGTCTGCTTTAGTCAGAATGACTGAAAGAACAGCCATTGCTGGGTTTCCATAGAGACACGGGGGGTCGGGGAGTGACGGCTTACTCTATGCCAGAGGGGGCAGGACTGGGACTCTGCCCTCCAGCCCCCTACCATGTATTTTGTCAAAGCTGGAAATAGAGGGGGCAAAAGGAAGGAGGGTTGCCCCCATGCCTTCCTGAGAAAGTTAAACTGCAAGCCTGTCTCTTTCCGGCATTGCTTTCCCTCCCGAATGGCATCACTGAGCATGTTGTTTTCATAGTGCCTTTTTCCTTACTTCAAGGGTTGCTTCTGAGTGATGTTTTCTGTTTGTTTGGTTTACAATAAGTTAAAGACAGGCCAGAGCTTTTCAGCCCGTGTGTCGCCTAGTCTGTGTAAATGCCTTTCCCTCGGTGAGGGGAGCACAGGTGGAGAAGAGCAGGCGCAGGCAGAAGTGGAGGGTGTGGCCTGCTGCCTGTCCCGAGCCAGGAGTCGTTCAGGTTTGGCTTTAATACTTGTGAGCCCCCGGAGGTGACAGGAGCGGAAGCCGGTGTCTGGTCGCTGCCCAGGGAGCAGTGTGGCAGCTGCCGGGGCAGGAGGACAGGCTGCAGCTCTGCCCACACTGGACTGGGTGTGGCTGAAAGGGGGTCAGCGTCCTTGACTTTGCCATCTCAGGTGTTTTCTGCCCCCCTCCTTAATCCCCAGAGACCCCTGACTCAAACCCTGGAGCCAGCAAGTTTCAAACACAGGAAAGCCGGAGGAATTTAGACTCGCTCTCCCTCGGTCAGGATGCGCCGTGTTCCTACATCCAGGATGCAGTGGAAAGTGAGCTTCACTTCATCTTTCTTGCTCTGCAAACCAGGGTACCTGTTCCTGCCTTTTCTCTCTCGTGTCCCCACCCAACCTGCCCAGGTGAGCCTTAGGGCAGCGTTCACGAAGCAGCTGGGTGGTTTTCCTGTCTCCATTCACAGCGGGCTGTGTGTATAGCTGCTCCACCCCAGCCCCCCAGAACTCAGTGTCTCCGAGAAGCAGGGAGAGCAGGAAGGGAAGACTGGAAATGTAGGCAGGCCGAGTCCACGGAAGAGCTCTCTGTCCGCCTCCTGTGCCAGCTGCTTGCCCCTCAGAGCCATGTGCCTGTGAACTTTCTCCACCCAGTCCCTCCCACAGCACAGCCGGCCCGGAGTTGGTGACTGGTGACGGCCTTGGGTCTGAAGCGGTCGTCGGAGTCTCCCTGGCCTCTGGTCATGGAGCCGGACTCAGAGGCCCAGGAGGTGCTGCTCCTCTGGACAGAATTCGGCCTCTCCTCGCTCCCTCCCTGATGGTAAAGGAATCTGGCATTCTGCACCTGGACCACGTGATTGTTTTATTTTGGAATTGGTGTATATCATGGAGCCTTGCTGAACTAAGTTTTGTGTGTATATATTTAAAAAAAAATCAGTGTTTAAATAAAAAGACCTATGTACTTAATCCTTTAACTCCGCGAATAAAACTTGGTAGTTAGTGATTAACTGTGAATAATAAACCTACAATGACTTCTTCACTCTGTATCTTTTTTTGCCTTCGTCTTAAGATAAAAACCTAAAAACTGTCAGGGAGTCGGGACTCACGTCCTTATTTCTGACTCACCCAGCCCCTTGGGGTGGGGGGCACCAGGGTCCCTGGGCCTCCGTAGGAGCGATGCCCACCTCGGCTCTTGGAACCCTGGGGGAGCTTGTCCACAATGCAGATTTCCAGGCCCCGCCCTCACACACTCTGGATTGGGGTGGAGGGCACAACAGGTGTTCTTGGCGTTTCTGATGGAAACCGTAGACCACACTTTGGGAACTGTGGGGACGAAGAGCACAGCTGACCTGGTTCTTGTCCCCTCACCCACCTCCTCTCCTTCCTACCCCCTCCCCACTTAGTGACGGCCAGGACAGAATGGTCTGTGCCGAAAGCAGCCTTTTTTGTTGTTTGTATGTTTGTTTGTTTTCAGAGAGGGAGGGGGAGGGACAGAGAGATAGAAACATCAATGATGAGAGAATCGTTGATTGGCTGCCTCCCCCAAACCAGGCATGGGCCCTGACCGGGAATCAAACCATGACCTCCTGGTTCAATCATTGAGCCACACCAGCCAGGCTGTGCCAAAGCAGCTAAAACATGTCTGTTTTTAGGGCGAGCCTCGGCCCGTTCACCCACCTCTTGATGTGCCAAGTAGCTAAAACATACTTGTCTGTTTTTAGGGCGAGCCTCGGCCCGTTCACCCACACAGCACTGGCTACAGAAAACCAACAAATAAGATTTGTTTAGAGAGTGAACGGAAAAGAAACGAAACCCAAGGAATTTCCACTTGTATTCTTGGTCTAGTTCCTAAATAGAGCCCAGCACCCGACCTCAGCTGTGGCTGCCCAGCTCAGACGGGCGTTTTCAGTTCCTTCTCCGCAGTGACCATGCGTGAGGGGGACTCACCCAGCACTGGCCTGCGGGGAGCCGCTGGTCGCACGGTCCACCTAGGCCCGCTGCTTCGAAGCTGAGCAGAAATTTCCAAAATGGGGCTATTGAAGTGAAAACTTTAGGCAGCCACTGCCAGTCTCCTTGAGGCTCTGTGCTGTTTGACCGATGGCCTCAGAATTTAATGGGGAAATTGCTGCTTTTGTGCAGTCTGTCTGGTTACAGGCTTCTTGGTGATGGCATCCTCCTCCGACCGTGGGTGTGTAATTCCTGGAGAGGCATCTGGGTGGGAGCATTTGGGAAGACTCGGCTGCCTCTGATGACTAAAAGCTACAGGTGGGTGAGTAGCTACAAGGCCTGCCCTTGCTCTCTCTGCAGAGTGGCCCTGCCGCAGCTGGAGCTTGGTCGCCCGCCTGGCGCCCCTCAGACTTAGCGGCCTAGGAGTCCGTGACAGAGGCTCGTCTTCCAGCGTGATGGTGGCCCTGGCTCCGACCAGGTGCCCCAAGGCAGTCTCACGGCGCCTCTCCTGCACTTGCCCCGTTGACCTGCTTACGGTAGGTGGTCTTCCAGTCAGAACGTTTTACTTCCCCAAAGTGCCCGGGTAGCCAGGAAAAATGAAAGTGGAATTGTATTTGGGCACCTTGGATGGAAATACTTCCAACTCCTAGATGCTGTGGTTACGTGCGGTGCAGATTCCCCACACCTGAGCCCTTTCACACTGACGAACAAGAGAGGTTGGACACGCTCAGAGTCGGCCTCAGTTGGGGGGCTTAAATGCGGCCCCAGGGGTGACAGGCTCCTCGCTCCAGCCAGAGCCCCGAGGCAGATGAGTGACGTGCTTTCCACCCAATGGCCCGCGTCAAAACCCTAAAGGACCACGCCGTCATAGGTGCCTCCCCGCCGTCAGGAAGTAAGTGCCATCTGTACCAGCAGCACTGACTCGTGAACAGTAAATGGTGGTGGTGACCCCACTTGCTACTCAGAGCACTCCAAGCACCTCTTCCAAAGCTGACGGCGTTGGCTTAAAAGGCACACAGCATCCAGGCCAGAGAGAGACTCCTAGGACCGTCTTTCAAGACTTGGTTCTGGCCCAGCCAGCAAGCAACACTGGCCTCGGGTCTCCAAGGAACCTTAGTGGTTAATACAGGCGACCTCGGAGGTGTGGGCTTGGGCCCAGCCCACGCGGTCAAGCCAGGCACAGGCTTTTTGCTGGTGGAGGGTCTGTGGAGCTCGGCAAAGCAAAGCAAAGCGAGGCAAGGGGTGCCTGGCTCCGTGCCCTGGTCAGAAGTCGGGTTTAGAAGGTAGTCACCCCAGGTGGCCTCTGGGTCTGAATAGCCTCCCACAGGGCCTGCCTCCCTCCCGGACCCCATGTGGCATGAGTGCCCGAGCCAGGCCAAGTGCCCTCAGGTCTGAAGCCAAAGGGTGAAGGGCTGACCCCTTCCCTTACTCCTCCCCTAACCCCTTCCTGTGCCGGGGAGTCAAAGGGTACGGCGCCCCCTTTTCTGTTGAGCCCACGCCAGGCTTCTGTACGCGGAACCGCGGTACCGTGCGTTCTCCGGTGGTGACGGGTGTGTTGGTGTGCGAGCTGATGGGAGCGAATTCCAGACAAGCAGTGTGGTTAGCCCACGCCAGGCTTCTGCACGCGTTCTCCGGTGGTGACGGGTGTGTTGGTGTTCGAGCTGATGGGAGCGAATTCCAGACAAGCAGTGTGGTTGGCAGTCGGCGGGGGGAGTGTGAAGCAGATGGGACTCGGACCAGGTCTCGGGGGAGATCGGTTTGAATAGAACACGGAGACCCAGCCCACGCGGCAGGCGGCACAGTGTTGGCAGAGGGGTGTGGTGGGGAGGAGCACGGTGTCCCTGCAATGAGGAAGAGTCCAGGTGGGTTGGTGGGGCTTGGAGCCCAGGCCGAGCAGTGCCCACGCCCCCTGCCGACGCAGAGGGTTCCACAGGCCCGGGCGGTGAGCAGCAGGATGAAAGCTGACTTAGGGGTGCACAGGAGAGACCGGGGGAGCCTGGGGGAAGTGCGAGGTGCTCGCTCAGGGGAGCGAGGAGCTGTGCCAACCTCCTGTGGAATTGGCGTCATACGCGCCACTTCTGGGCCTGGCTGGGCCTCCGCTTTCTCCTGCTGCTGGCTGGATGCAGGAGAACAGGGGAGCCGCCAGCTCATCGCGGGGTGAGCTCTTAGTCACAGCACCACCCGCCCTGACGTCCCAGGGCCACACCGGAAACCAGGCAGCAAGAGAGGCCCTGAGAGGCCCAGCTGAAAACGTTAGTTTGGGGGAAGGAAATGGAATTGCTCATCGTGATCGAAAATTCGCGGAAGAGGCACGAGGCCAACGGTCTGGTAGCCGAGGTGGCGGCTCCTGGAGCCCGGCCCCGCTGCCCTTATTATTTTGCCCCCGTGTCCTTGTTCAGTCACTGGGCAGGTGCTTGTTGAGAAGGTCACGTGCTTGGTTCAGGCCTCTGCTCAGATACGAGTCCCCACTCAGAGAAGCCCTGCCTACATGTGATCAGTCATCGCCTGGCCTCCAGCTCTGCCTTTCTGCACAGCCCTCCTCGCCACCTCACTGGGGGCGCACATTCTGCCCACCTTCCCCACCAGACTGTAAGCTCCTGGGGGCAGGAACTCGCTCAGGGTTGCATCCCTCGCAGCTGGAAGAGTGCCTGGGACATCCGGGTGCTTATCCATCACCCGAGGAAAGAAAAGTCTGTCCCAGACGCTGCTACAAATGAGGCCCATGGTGCCGGCAGCCCAGCCACTGCCTCACTGGGGGCACACATTCTGCCCACCTTCCCCACCAGACTGTAAGCTCCTGGGGGCAGGAACTCGCTCAGGGTTGCATCCCTCGCAGCTGGAAGAGTGCCTGGGACATCCGGGTGCTTATCCATCACCCGAGGAAAGAAAAGTCTGTCCCAGACGCTGCTACAAATGAGGCCCATGGTGCCGGCAGCCCAGCCTGGCCGTCTGCTGGGGAAGGCAGCCAGATAATGCCTCGGTGGGAGGACTGGCACGATGAAGAGGAGTGTAGGAGTTGGGGGGACATTCAGCAGCGGCTCCCACCTGTCTCGAGGTTGGGGAAGACCAGACAGTTATGCATAAAACAGAGAGCTAGACACTGAACAGGATGGTCGCTCAGTGGAGAGGGAGGGACGCATGCAGGGCAGGAGGCACTGCAAGTTCCAGAAAGACCTGCATGTAGAGAGGGGGAGAGAGAGAGATCGGGGTCCAAGGAGGAGCTGGCTCAGGCAGGGGCAGAGGCTGACGAAGCGGCGCCCTGTACGCCTCAGGAAGGAGCTGGAAGTGGGAAGCCCTGGGGGCTTGGGGTTTGGGGTCATTTTAAGGATGGCTTTATTGAGATACAATTCACTTGTCACCAAGTCACCCACTTAAAGTATACCATTCAATGGTGTTTAGCATTAGTCACGGTTATGCAATCAATTTTGGAACATTTATTTCAGAGAGAAGAAGGAAGAGGGAGAGAGAGAAAGAAACATCAATGATGAGAAAGAATAATTGATCGGCTGCCTCCTGCACGCCCCCTACTGGGGATCAAGCCCAAAACCCAGGCACGTGCCCTGACTGGAATGGAAACGTGACCCCCTGGGTCATGGATTGACGCTCAACCACTGAGCCACACCAGCTGCGCAATTTTGGAACATTTTCGTGATCTCCTAAAACAAAAACACACGCATCCATGATCGGTCACTTCCCACTTCCCCCAACCCCCCCGAAACCACCAGTCTACTTCCTGTCTCTATGGATTTGCCTGATCTGAACATTTCATATCAATGGAATCGTGCAATATGTGGCCCATAAGCTACGGCCCCAGGCGAGACCTCACACTCCACTCTCCATGAGGGGAGGGGGGGGATGTGGGGTCCAGCCCGAGGCCCTGAGGATGGGGTGAGGGAAGAAGAGGGAGCAGCAGAGGAGACTCGGGAGAGGCCGGCGAGGCAAACCAGGGCCAGCCGGTGCCGGGGCAGGTGTGTCCAGGACGCTGCTGCAGGGACTTGCCTCTCTGGCCATCCTCGTCCAGACCCCTCGTCCTCCACCCTGTTGCTGCCTCCTGCCAACCCTGATTGTCCCCAAACTGCCCTGTCACGCCTT